CTAAGAAAAAGAAGAAGACGACGAGGAGTTAAGGTCAAGAAGAATCTGGGAGTGGAAGTGGATCTTCATCAAGAGGTGGCGGCGGATTCAACGAGTTAATGGCGTACCTGAGTGAGGGCTTAGTTATAGACAATAGTGAAATGTTTGATTTGGTTGAGTAGTGGAGAGCACGAGCATTAACTTGGCCGATCCTAACACGACTGGCAATGAATATTTTTTCGATCCCGGTCTCCACTGTTGCAGCTGAACAAGCATTCAGTATAACTGGCCGAATACTTGAAGAATGGAGAAACGCATTGCAGCAGGATATTGTTGAAGCTTTGGTGTGCATCAATGATTGGGACCGTTCCGACCAACGTTTACACGATATAATCTCACCGGCAAACCAAGAATAGATCGACGAATTTAATAGATTAACTTTTAATTTTCAAGACGATCCTTCTACTTCAAATTAAATTTTATTATTCTAATTTGTAAATATTTATTTACTTTGTAATTTCTAATTTGTATAGTGTTTATTGTAATTTGTAATCTTGTATAGACTTTGTAAGTTCGTCAAATTTGTAATTCGTCGCACAATGATTACACTCTTTTTTCCTTACCAAGTTTTTATCCCAATTGGGTTTTTCTTGGTAAGATTTTTAACAAGACAATCGTGAATTACAAATTTAAAAATCAATGAATAAGTAATTTTTTTTATATAGTTCGTGTGTTCATTTCAAATTTCAAATTGTAATATACACATTGTAATTATACAAATACTTATTACTTATTATACAACATAAAAATATAATATAAAAAAAAAATTCGGACAGCCGGTCAGGCATCGGGCAGGCATCCTCTGCCCGAAGCCCGCCCATGGGCAATTTCGGGTCGGGTTGGACAGCCCAAATTTTCAGACATTTCGGATTCGGTCATCGGGCAAAAATTTAAACTTTTCAGTGGTTACGGACGGCCCGTCTAAAATTTCAGCACTATATATATACCTTCTCTATTTGATCACATGTTCTCAACGTGACTTATTCCCTTAAAAAAAATCAACTGATTTGGATGGAAAAGTGTTAATTGCATCTGTTTAAAGAGATTAGAAAGTAATTTGTTAAAATTACAAAAAAGAAAAGAGGAACTAAATTGTCATCTATTAAAAATTGCAAATAATTACCCACCCACCAAATTACCTCTCACGTCGTAGACAAAGATCATTTTCCTTCTCTTCTCTCCTCTCTCTCACTCATCGCTTTCTCTCCCCCTGCCGATCTACCTCCGCCGGAGATCTCACAGCATGGAAAAGCTCACTAGTGAAGGACACGAATTTCACCTTCGCAAAATGTCAGACCACGGATCCGACCATATCTACGGCGCCGGTACCTTCTCAAAGATGCTCAAAGACGGCGGTCGACTTCTTTGGAGGTGACCTTGGAAGACCGTCGCTGTCACCGGATCTCTCAAGCTCTCTTCCATCATCGCAGATACTCGCCGCCACAGATCCGTCGCCGATTTCTTTGACGGAGATGTCAGATCTGACGGATAATGTCGGTGGCGGAGTGGCTGTGTCGGAGTTTACGATCTTGCAGATTGGAAATGCCGTCTATAAATGTGAGTTTTTGTGATATTCTCTTCTTCTTCCTTTTTTTTTTGTTTTTTGTTTTTTGTTTTTTTGTTTTTTGTTTTTTTTTGTTTTTCAAATCTCACGGCAAGCTCTGTCACAGATTGAAATTGTAAAGAATGTTCGTAGAGGCACTCTGATGTATCCTCTTTGGCGTGGTGATAAAATCAGAAGGTATTTACACCATATGTTCTGGATTGTTTTAGATTTTTACTAGCTATTGCGGCAGGTGATAATTTTATATTATACAGAAAAGTGACGGAGAAGTGATAATATTTATAGTACATAATTAGTTTATATATACATATTTACATAATTTTATATTATACAAGAAAGTGATAAGGAAGTGATAATATTTATAGCACATAGTTAATTTATATGTACATATTTATATAATATTGTTGTAAAAAGTTGTTTGCAATGTTGTTGACGCCTTGTCCTTTTTTTTTTTTGCAGGATTTTTTTACCTGCAAGACAAATTTTGAGAAAAATTAACAATTATTTGAGGAAATCTAAAATATTTTTATTTAGAAGTAGTTATATTACCTGATTTTTAGGTATTTTTTGGAGTGCTCTGTTTTTTTGGTTGAGAACTGAAATAATAAAAGATTGTTAAAATTTATGTTTAAAATGATGAATGTTCTTTTTTGTATTGGTAAATAATGTAAATTGGTAAATAGATTTTATCTTGTAGTAGATTTTTTTGGGTCCGATGTAGACTGAATCGAGACTGGAGTTGATGTTGTTTTTGAGCAGGGGCTGAAATAGTAAAATATTATTTAGATGTGTATTCGAAGTAATAAATGTTATTTTTTTTTATGTATAATTGATTTAAATTAGAGGATATGTTGTACCTTGCTGTTGGTGCAGTGGTGGTTAGTATTTGTGGTAGTGTTATTACAAGTTTAGTGTCTTCAAATATTTTTCAAATATTTTTAAAACAACTGCAGTCATTTATGCTCCTCTTTATTGAAAATATGTTTGGAAGATTTTTGTCTGTCTTCTTAAATGGGACTAAAGATGCCAAAATCGACTTTAATCATCATTGCCACGGGTCAAAAGAAATAAAGATAAAATGTGTTAAAGAAATAGGCACATATATATATGTGACTATAGAAGAAATTAATAAGAAATTAATATATCATAGGTATACAGCAATAAAACAGAAAAAAAATAATCATAACAAATGCATGTTTTTTTAAGCACACTAATAAACAACAGGAAGTAACATCAGCAAAGAAAATCAATACATTTGACATCAATAATATATAATAAAAATATGAGTAAAGGTTAATAATAGTACCTGCAACGCTGTGAACAATGTCTTAAACACAGAATATAGGCCGGTTAAAAACAGGCGAAAAAGATGCAACCTAAAACAATGAGCACTGAGTAAATGAATATGAGGCCAAACAACCAAAAAAACTAAAAATGTTAGAGCAAGTAAAAGGAAGAAAAAACAAAAGATATTTAAACATTTGCAAACAAAAAAATAGAGTCAAAATCAGAATCTAGATAAAGAAGTTGAAACACATTCATAACAGTTTCTCAATAAATTTCATGGCATTGAATAGCTAAAAACCAATTATAAGAATTATTCCCGTAGACTGAAACCAATTAAGGATAAAATATGTTAAGTAAAAACAAAAAACTACATATACTGCTACAAAGTAAATGAAAACCACAAAAAAGTGGAAACATAGGTAAGTAAGATTTGCTGACAATGAAAAGGAAAGAATTGTTGTCAATACTATAGGAAACGACACAAAGCAATGACAATATAACAAATTAATACACAGCATCAACAACAGATATTAAAAACGTATGAAAAAAAAAATCATAAATAGTACTTGAGATATTGGGAGCACTGCCTTAAACAAGGAATGTCAGCCAAACAGAAGTGAAAGAGGCAAGGGTAAAACGATGAAGCAGTAAATAGGGGAAGGTCAAAGACAATAGTAAATGATCAAAGATGGAGGATAAATGTCAGGTGTAAAGGAAAACATAGGTGGCAATTAACACAACCGGTTAATAGACAATAACGGGGTTCTATATATATATATATATATATATATATATATATATATATATATATATAGAAAGCAAAATAACCAATGAAAATATCACATGTAATAGTTCTATGTCGGTGCAAAAGGAGTGGAAAAAAATTCAATCAAAGCAAATAACAAAAACATTTTTTTATTATAAAACTAAAAGCAAGAAAGAAAAAAAAAAAAAAAAACCTCGGAGCAATAAGCAATACAAATAGGAGAGAAAAAAATAAAAAAAGGAAAAAAAATATCTTTGTCAGCATATTTTGGGGAAATTCTAGTTCATAAAAGGAGGAAAAATCTCCGCCTCATTTAATGAGTTTGAAACAAACAGATCATCAACAGAAAAGTACATATCAACACCGTAAGCATTACAGATCACCACTACAAATCAACAGATGAATAAATGTAAAGGAAACCGACTTACATAGAACCCCGGAACAAAATCAGCAAATAGCCAAGTGTATAAAAAGGAAAAAAAAAATCCGAGACCTATGAAAATCAGCCATGGGGAAGATCCAAAATCTCTTTCTTGCGAAAGGAAGCAGCTGTCAAAAGGAAGAAAACAATCGAGCAAAATCCGATTGTCATCAGTAAAAGGGAAAAAAATTTCAACATAAAAAAGAGCAATAAATCTTACATAAGCAAAAAAAAAAAAAAATTACATAAAACCCAAAATATTGAACTCAGCAAAAAAAGAGAAGAAGGCCATGAAAAATCTCAAATTAAAAGAACAGAAGAGCAAGAAGAAACAATCAACAAAAGTAAAAAATGCCACAACAATTAAAAAATAAAAAGAGGGAAGAAAAAAGAAATAACATATAACAAAAATACACAGTCAGCTAAAATCGCAGAAGAAACCCAAGTAAAATCCCCAATCAAAGCATGAGAAAATGAGCATAAGCAAGCAAAAGAAACATGCGCCGAAAACAGTCAAAGGACCAAGATCATGTAAGAACTGAGAGAAACAAAGAAGCCAAAAATGGAGGTCAAACTTTTAACGGAGAATAAAATAGAAGAGACAGCATAGGGAAAAGCACAGAAGAAAGAAATGAGGCTTAGGGCTTCATTAGAAGATAAACGACAAAAAAAGCAAGGAGGCAAAGACGAAAACGTAGGTCCTGTTTGTTTCTGTTTTCGTTTCATTTTTCACATTTTTTGAGGTTAAAAATTGAAAATGTGTATAAAAAACGCGCTTGGCGTAAAAAATTTTATAAAACAAAAACAAAACCGTTTTTGTCGTATTTTGAAAATCTGAAAACGTAAAAAACTTGTTTTCATTTTCTCCTCGTTTTCCTTTTCTCTCTTTAGCCCACTAGAGACCCCTCCTCTTCCTGGCCTTTGCAGATTAGGAAGAAGCGGTCGTCGACGAGGCGCTCGTGCTTGACGACCTTGCCGACGCAGCCGACTTCAGCGGTGCTGGAGACGGCGTCGTAGTAGATGACGCCGAAGCGGTGGTG